CACTCACAGCCCAGAAAGCCAACTGTATCCTGGGCTGCATCAAAAGGAGCGTGACCAGCAGGTCCAAGGAGGTGATCCTGCCCCTCTACTCTGCTCTCGTGAGACCTCACAGGGAGTACTGTGTGCAGTTCTGGTGTCCTCAACATAAAAAGGACATGGAACTGTTGGAACAAGTCCAGAGGAAGCCCATGAGGATGATCAGGGGACTGGGGCACCTCCCATTTGAAGACAGGCTGAGAAAGTTGGGGCTGTTCAGCCTGGAGAAGAGAAGGCTGTATGGAGACCTCATAGCAGCCTTCCAGTATCTGAAGGAGGGCTATAGGGATGCTGGTGAGGGACTCTTCATTAGGGACTGTAGTGATAGGACAAGGGGTAACGGGATAAAACTTAAACGGGGGAAATTTAGACTGGATATAAGGAGGAAGTTCTTTACTGTGACAATGGTGAGGCACTTGAAAGGGTTGCCCAAGGAAGTTGTGAATGCTCCATCCCTGGCAGTTTTCAAGGCCAGGTTGGACAGAGCCTTGGGTGGCATGGTTCAGTGTGAGGTGTCCCTGCCCCTGGCTGGGGGCTTGGAACTAGATGATCTTAAGGTCCTTTCCAACCCTAACTCTTCTATGATTCAGAGTTATGGCATTTGTCTTCCCAAGTAATAGTTACGCACGTTGGAGCCCTGCTTTCCTGGTGATGGCTGAACACCTGCCTGTCCATGGGAAGTGGTGAATGAATTCCTTTCCTTGTTTTGCTTTGTTTGTGTGTGCAGTTTTTGCCTTACCTGCTCAACTAGCTTTATCTCAACCCACCTGTTTTTTCATTTTACTTTTCCAACTATCCCCTCCCATTCCACCAGGAGGGAGTGAGCAAGAGGCTGTGTGGGGCTGAGCTGCTAGCTGGAGTTAAACCACAACATAAGCTAATGGCTTACAACAATCACAACTTGCAACTAAAAGGGGGTCTGGAATGTTCTTGCTTCTTCACATTTGGTTTAGACATATTTGTCTTCCAGGAGTGTGATTTAGTCATCGCTACTGTTTTTGCCCCTTTACCACATTTATTTCTTTTTAACATACAGAAATTTGCTTGGCTTGGTCATGTGACAGGGACTGCTTGGCTCTAATTCATATGCGAAAGTGAGATTATTTAAAACAGCACCAAGAGTGCACAATAAAAAGTCCTTTACTCATGCGAGGAGCCAGCCAGGAACCAAAGTTCAGCAAGTCCAAAGCTGCCTTGGGAAGAGATTGCTTTTTAGCAACATCTTGTAGCCAACAGAAAAAAAATAAGCTCTAAGAGTGTTTTCTTGATGAGATGGCTATAAATCAATAAATAAAGGACTAGAGGGATATTAAAAATGAAGGTGTCAGCATGGGAATGTACAGACGAGTCAGTGTGGATGAAGGAGGCTGGTAGGCTTACCAAAGACGATGCCATTTGCATAATACATCAGTTTATACTTTCCTGAGGATAAACATAAACAGGGAAATAAATGTCTGTGGCAAGCGTTGTATTTGCTTAAATCCGAGCTCATTAAGTAGTAAATGTCAAATTACTAATAGTTAGCTTCCGTAATGTTTGTGGGGGAGGGGTTAAATTCACAAAATTGCTCAGCTTTGTCCTGACAAATCTGACACCAGCAAACTAACAGTCTCTTCACTTCATTACTAATTTTGATTTTAAACCTTGAGGCCACGATTTCTTTAGTGTAGTGTTGTGACAAACCCAGCCCTGATTTTGAATATAAAATCTGCATCTGATCATATTCTTTGCAAGTTGTAATATTAATCTTTTCAATGTTGAAGATAAATTAATAAATACCATTGCTGGCATGAAATAGGTGAATGACAAGTGTTGAAATATATGGATTTTGGCTACTTCATTATCCTGTGTCAAAGCAAAAAGCATTGTGGCTTTCTCCATAACGTCATCCTATTCCACTTTCGTCCTTATATATATATTATGTTTGCTTTTTTTGGCACGTGATATGCATTCAATTAAGTAATAGCATTCCAGATGTGGTAAGTGCTCTGCTCTAGTTTTACATCTTAGTACAATGTGCCATGTATTAGCAAACTAGACAATGATCTGATTTACTATGTGTATTATTCTAAATGCAAAAACGCTGCTCATAAATTGTATTTTTTGTATCTATCACTTAGTCTTCCATTGCTATTACCTGACTTTAAAAACTGTAGCAATTACACTGTGAAAACAACTTGAAAGTTCATGGCATCCTGCAGGAGACAACACATTGTAATGCATATCCTCAATTCTCTGCAGGCTTCAGCAGACTGCAAATCTGTCAGGGCAGAGTCTGCAGGGAAACGGTACTTTTCAGCTCTCTCTGCTGTATATAATCCACATTATATAATGCAATAAGATATAAAATTGTCAGAAGAGCCCAGAGTTGTTCTCCCTACTTAAAATTATATGTGCAAAGACAAGGAGACTACAGTAGAGTTTCTATGGTTTTGGAGCTGAAATCCTATAGGCAACATGATGCGTCATAAATTTTAAACCATCAGCTGTCATGGATGATCTTATGCAGGTGCTGAACAGTAAGCAGTGGTGCTAAAATAACACCACTTGATATAGCAGCTCTGGTAAGTGTTGGCCCAGACCAGTAAACAGAAACAAATAAATAAGCATACAGCATTGTGAACACTCGCAAGAAGATACATCTTTAAGTAAATACTGGAAAATAAAACCTTAATAATACTGATTTCAGTAAATCAGTAAAGAACTTTACAGATCCTGGACAGATGGTATTGTCCTACAACAATTCTTCAGAAAGTACACTGACACAACAACATCTCCAAATTCTGGCAAATGCTTGTTATAACAGAATCATCAGCTCTGGCTATATTTCAGATACTGCTTTTTTCCCTACTTCCATCCACAATTCCTATCTTAAGGGTTTTTAAAGTAGGATCATCTCTCATCATCCATAGAAATCTCTCAGACAAACAGTAAAGCCCACATAACCATGACAGCTACCCTCTGGTACCAGGAGAAGAAATGAGCAGGAAACGGTGGGCTGAATAAGAACTGCTTGATGCAGCCCTGCTGCAGCCAGAACAGCTGTGTCTGGCCATGTTTCCATGAGAAAATTTAAATGTAAACTAGTTGGGGTGGGACTGCTGGACCTGGACTGAGTAATGTTTCAAGAGGACAACAGCTTCAATTCCAAAAGTATCAGCAAACCCGTCACTCAATGTTGCACCAACTGCCCAATAAAATGCTGTTCAGAAATACCCTAGTTCACTTGTTCAGACCCATATGGGGTATCTGACACAGCAAAGGTACATCATTGTTCATAGGGCTCATTAGCTTAACCTGCACTATTCCAGGTTTGATGCGCCTTTCAGAAGTGCAGACAACACCGTGGTGTAACCTCAGAGATTCACCCTCCCTCCTGCACCTCCCAAGCTGGGCCAGCTGCAGCCCAACATTATCACAGAGAAGAGACACCCAGTAGGAAACATTTCATGCTCACATTGCCAGTTAATGTCAGAAAAAAAGACTAAACCTTGAAATAATGGGAACCAGATGACTAAACAGATCATTAGAGGTAACCAGTTTGTCAACAGGTGATCAGGCTGGGGGAGATACGCGTATCTATTCTGTACACACACAGTATTGTAACAGTGGGTTGATTTTATTTAATATATGCTGTTCTTCAAATAACTGAGGATTTTATTAAAATAAGAGTATGCTCTTTAAATATGTATTCTTATAGAATGGCGATCATGTTCCAGTTCACAGGCTTTTCAACTTATTTTTAATATGACTAAATAACAGAATTCTATGTATTTTTATAGCTTTTAATTTGAATGACTTCACATTTTGGCCATTATCTGAGGGTTAGAGGTGCAGAGGCCAAAAGGTGGCATCTTCCATTACATGGTTTTTATCCTCAGCTCACCCTGGGTGTCATGGTTTAAACCCAGCTGGTAATTCAAAACAACATAGCTGCTTGCTCACTCCCCCCACTTCCCCTCCCCCCCCCCCCCCACTTCTGGAGGGATGGGGAGGAAAATCAAAAGAATGTAACTCCCATGGGTTGAGATAAGAGCAGTCCAGTAACTAAGGTATAACACAAATCACTACTGCTACCACCAATGATAATAATGATAAGGGAAATAACAAGGGGAGGAAAGAAAAAAACAATAAACCCCAAGTGATGCACAGTACAATTGCTCACCACCCACCAACTGATACTCAGCCTGCCCCAAGCAGCGATCTGGGCCTTCCAGGTAACTGTCCCCAGTTTATACACTGGGCATGCCATGCTGTGGCATGGAATACCCCTTTGGCTAGCTTGGTTCAGGTGTCATGTCTCTGCTTCCTCCCGGGTTCTTGTGCGCTTCCTCACTGGCAGAGCATGAGACTGAAAAGTCCTTGATTGGGGTAAGTGTTTATATTCACTGCTCTGAGCACTTTTGCTTTGCTGTAGATTAAAGAATTGCAAGCTTTCTCATAATTTAAGAACTAAACTTTGATTTCACAGAAAGCAGTGATTACTTGGCTGTTCTCTGACATGTAGTGAAACCTACCTCAAGTTATTAGGGCCTGGAACATCAGTGATAGTAGCAAAATAAAAAGGTTGATGCCATATTTATCTAACTCAGCACTTCTACAACAAGATGTTAGAATACATAACGTCAATAAGTATAATGTATATTATACTGGTAGGCTTATTCTTTTAAGATGCAATCACAGGGGCTCTTGTGTGTCTGCAAAGCAGAGTACTTAACATAAAAGGATTATGTTCTGTTTGTGCAGGATGAAACGGGCCATTCCTTACTTTCTTGTGGCATTACAATTGCCATCCATAACTGTCGATCACTTTCTGGGTGATAAATTACTGCTTCTTTAGCAAAGATTCAGATCAACCAGCCTTAGCAGCTCCCTTGCAAACTTGCAACGGTGTAATTAGCCTAAATCATACAATAAAAGTTACATAGCACACAAGGTACAATGGCATTACTTGTTCATGAAGACAGAAGTTTTAGAAAAAGAATTTTTTTTAGAAAGATCCAAAATTCAGTCACAAAAGGGAACAGCAGCAAACAGTTCCTGTAAGAAAAAGAGGGTGATAGGCTCCTGAAAATCTCTGCCGTGACACTAGGTAGCACATATGGAGCTTTAGCAGCTCAGAAAAATGCAGGCACTTCCCCAGAGAATTTAACAAGGTGAATTGCTCCCCAATTAAATTGAATTTAAACTTGCATGTGTGAGAAATCTATGTTTAATACCTCAATAGTGGCAAAATCTTTGTTGATTTTTTCCAGCTTCAGTTGAAGTTAATCAGAAAGCACTCAGATTTGGTTTCCAAATCTCCTCCACACATGAGCTGGAATGACAGAAAAGCTTTCAGGCAGGAAGTCAGGAAAATACAGAGCACCTTTTCAGTAATAATAACAGGGCAAGCCCTATCACTGGCTTAAACCCAAGGAAAATGAACTTGTAAGATGGTTGTCTACGCTAGAAGGGAACACAGCAACCCATGAGGTCACTCCCAGCCCAATGTCATTTTATCTGTGCAAGCTTAAAATTAGTTACTTTGAGTCTGTGAGCAACTCACATAAAAATGTGTCTATAGCTTTGCAAGATGAACGGCAACAGGTTTGATTCTGCTCTAAAGCAACCAGCAGATTTACATAGACTTAAAGAGGAATAAGATAGCCCTAAGTTACTAAATCAAATTGTCATTAAAATATTTGCAAAAGAGAAGAAAATGCTCATTTTTCAATGAAGCAAGTAAAATAGCCATAAAAATAGATAAAAAATTGCCAGCAGCTTTGTTAAATTGTTAAATAGAAAGCATTTCTTTGTTCAAATATGGATGCATCAATGTCTAGCAACAACTTCAAAAGCATTTATGTTACTCAGGAACTTAAGATCATTACATGGTTTTGAAAACTTTTTTATTTTAAATCAGATTGAACAAAAATCTGTGAAAGTTTCAAGGGATGGATAGACAGATGGCCAAATGGGTTTCTTTTCTGCATTAGTTGCTTGCAGCTTCTCCCTCTGTTAGCTGCCTTTTTTACTCTCACTTTTGAGGGAATTAAAAGACAAAACAAAACATTGTTCAGACATGCAGACTGTTTCAAAGGTCCAGTGGGTAGCAGGGAAATACTTTAGAGATCAGGTGAAATGAATTCAAGATGGGTGAAAATGGTCTTTGGTTCTGCTCTGCTACCTTTTACTGAAGATTCACTGCAGAGACGTGAATCATCTCCATCCACGCTGTGCTTCGCTTATTGCAGGCATTTTTCACAGATCCCTCCTGCTTCTTTTGTCTCCTAGTGTCAGACAGGGTGATTTACCATTGGTCATTGTGGCATTAAGGGTTTCCTATCAGTTAGGACAAGTGTAAGAGAAAAGGAGCCTGCTGCAAAATAAATAAATAAAATAATGGCAGACACCTCGTAATAAGGAATAACAATTAGGTAATAAAGTTAGGGAAAAAATAGGAAGGCACAGCTTCTGTTCACATGGCTTACAGCAAAAAACCACCATTTTTTATTTTAGATCAGCTAAAATTTCTGCTTAAAATAAACTGAGAATACAATTATATTCAAGCAACTGGGCTCTTTGTCTTTTTAGAAAGAAATCTCCTTCCCAGACAGAGCAAATAATGAAATAGAAAAAATGTAAAAGCAAAAAATATTTTTATGAAATCATTAATAATCAAGCAGACATAATTGTACAAGACACTAATAGAAACCATTGTTCAGGGCAGAAGACAAACATCAACATGATAAAATGTTGTTTTTATAAAGTACATGAAACTTCAGCTCACTTCTCCTACTTACCTCTAAAAATAAATAAAAATCATGCCTTGAATATAACAACTGCAATTCCATTTAGAAAATCTAAATCACCATTTTTCAGAGAATTTTAAAAAAATAGGAGTAGTATCTGCATTGTTGAATTTGATTCCTTCCTTTGGGGACTGTAGCTAGTCTCTGTGTTTATGATATAATAGATGGCAGAAAAAAAACAAGGAATATATATAAGAAACATGCATATTTTAAAGTTATGTACCTAAAAAGAGGTTTTGTCTTCTTCATTTATGTGTAATGGCACAGAGATCCCTTACATGACATTACATTTTAATGCAAACAGTGTCCTAAGAAAACCCTGTACCACTAATCATTAAAGCCAGTTTCTAAGCTATAGACACTACAGTAGAGAAGAGAATCAAAATCACATTTAAAGACCTCCTTTTTTTCCCCTCTACACTCTGTAGTTATGCAAACGCTTTCAGAAGTGTCTCTGAAATCTTTCAGACTCTTCAAAAAGAGTTCAGCCAAACACACACAGCACAAGTGCCTCAATGAAGCATTGGTTAAAAACCAGGAGAAAAAAAAAAACAAAAAAGGTAGGCAATTATTTCTGAGACTTGTTTTGGTTTTATTTTTTTGGACAATAAAAATAAAATCACAGATGATAGAGGTTCCATTCCACCAATATAATCACACTATGGGACTTTCTGACAGTGGTTAAAATGTTTTCTGATGTTTCAAGGAAGCATTAGATAAAAAGGGACAGTGTTGATATGTTATTAGTAAGATGGCCATTATTTTCAGGGCAATTCATTGTGCTTGTGATGGTTTTAAAGTGCATTTCCTGAAAGATATTCTCTATACTGTTATCCAAGAAACTATTCCAAGTAAAGAAATTTTGGATGTATGGAAGAAGCATTATTCCCCTAGAGCTTTTAGCACACTTTTTTTTAATAAGCATGAATGACCCATAGATTTAGTATATTTTGTCCCTATATTAGGTGGAAAAAAAGAAAAAGAGCCACCTTTATTATAGAATTCTAAGGGATCTCAGAAAGGAGACATCGCAATGGAGGTCAACAACTTTTACTGTTGTGAGACCAATCCTTAACATGCTTTGGGCATACACATGACTCAAGACAGCATCAGCCAGAAATAATTTCTAAAGATATTTTTTAGGCAGACTTTCTGTCTCAGAGCACAAGAGAGCTCTTTGATTTGTTTTGTTTTAAATCAGCATGGACATGAGCTATGTGCCAATGCTATCGTGACCAAACAACAGTCCTAGATGTGTCCCTTTTACTAGTACAGCCATGGGCAGAGGCTCCCATGCATCACAGCCAAGCCCTCCCTCGGGTCTGTGACATCCCTCCTGGGAGAAGCCTGTGTTCTCCTTCCCAGTAACTGCTCACTTCTTTTCTCTGGACTATATGGACTATTGCTGAAGGCTACCATTCTTGCTCTGCTGTGGAGACAGATCTGAGCCTTTTTCTCAGCCATTGAGTATATTGTTCCTATTTTAGGTAATTTTCAAATTATTTCTTAACAGCAGGAAAAGCAGAAGATGGAGACTGCAACACATGGCACGCTTACATCCACTTTCAGTCCCCAGGACTCCCTTTGCAAATGAGATCTTGTACTTTATAGAGCTTTGTTTTCCCAGTAGTAAACTATTTAAATGAATAACCACATTTAAGGTACTCCTGGGGAAGAGCCAATTTAAGAAAAACCATCCAGGAATTCACTACAAATGAGTTGCTGCCTCTCCAAAGATTCTGTTCCTTACCATCACGATGACAGGCTTGGGATTGGCTTCTAACACAGAATACCAGAAAGTTGGGAATTTGCCCATTATAACTTGAAATTAAGATGGTTGGAATGACATACACAAAAAGGGGGCTTCCCCCCCCCAAAAAAAAAAAACAAAACCCAAAACTATGTATCTCTCACAGTAAATAAAACCCCAGCAACTATATTATAAATTCTGGCTATAGTAAAGTAGTTTATGTTTTACAGAGCTTTTCCTTAGAAAAACAAACCATGTAATTAAGGTGCAATTCTTTGGTGCAGTTAGCTATAAGATATTCTTGTGGATTCTGTGTTGCATATTGACCAAAGAAAGGTGGTTGATGCCCCAAGGCTGTCACTGTTTAAGAAACATTTGGATAATGCCCTCAATAACATAATTTAAGTTTTGGTCAGCCCTGAGGTGGTCAGGCAATTGGACTAGATGATCATTAGAGGTCCCTTCCAACTGAAATACTCTATGTCTAGCTCTTTATAATTCTCATTAAAACAGTTATTTTAATGCTGTTATAATCATTATGTATTTATACTGCAGTTCATGTCAGCAGCAAAAATGCTACTGATTCACTACTTGGAGTTCCGGAATATCAGCTTAAAGATGTAGCTTGTTTCCACAGCAGCATCTATTCACAGATGTTCTACGGACATGGAAACTTACCAGTCCACTGCACAACGAAAATGAAGCCTAGTATTGACAAAAAAATTTTTAAGGGCACTCACTAGTCTTGTCAGAATCTGTCTATTCAGCTGTTTGAATTGCTACAATGCAGAGGAAACTGCAGTTAACAGAATCCAAAAAGTAGTTCTAAGCAGTAACTTGGCTTTTTGTCTTTGGGGAACAATAGTAATGCTCATGGTGCACTATCTAGAAACAATCAATCTGTACTGATGCACAGAAAAGTTTATCTCAGTGGTCACGCACACCCACAGTTGCAAAATGTGTTTAGCCTGGAAAATTAACTGATGCATAAATTTTTCTTAGGAAATTAGAGAAAATGATCTGTTAAGTGATGGTTTTCATCATCTCTGTAGGTCTTGTCCATTCACTTCAGCTTCCTCTCACTAAGTGTGTAGAGGCATACATTATGCAAGAAATGAGAATACTATCTACTGCAGTGGTAAGGTGCCTCAAAATAGCCCAGTGGCTTAACTTTCTGTTCTGGCCGCTCTAAATTCAAAAGACGGCCACAATGAATGTGTTTATTTTTGATGGATTCAGTAGTCATTACCCCTGAATTCATCAACTGGAAGCATATCAAGGGCACTGAAGTGTATTAATTACAACAGGTTAAATCACCAGTCATCTCTGGAATTATTCCTTTTCATTTTCTTTCTTGAACTAGCTGGCCTTGATGCCTTAGATTAAATCACTTGAATAGTATTTTACTGCTATTTTTAATTTATGCCATTATTCTGCTAACATCCATCCATAAATGATCAGGGCTAATTTCCATCTGTGGACATTTGAGAAGACTCATTTATTCTTTACTGTTTGTTCTTCAAAGAGTGAAGGTGCTTTTACAACAGTTTGCTAACTCTGGCAGCTTGCCAGCCTTACTTCAAGTTTCAACACCATTCATGTGAGAAAGAGTTGGGTATAGTGAATAAATGCATGCCAAACTGGCTATAAGTCTATGCAGGAGGTCCACTGAGATTTCAAAAACTTGTAGGTCAATGTAAGCAATTCAGAGAGTCCTTCATTTCTGCACTTTCAAGGTTTTGTTTACGTCCCCCTTATCTACCAAACTGAAACTCTGCTTGGTGCAAGCACAGCTTCAAAAAGTAGAGCTCCTACTTGGTACAGGTATAACATCTTTCCTTTCCTGAGCAACTATTGACCTACTGGCCCTAGTGCCAGGGAGAAATATTAATTATATTCCCACTTATGATAGTACCAAGGTAGAAGTTGAATCTTAAATAGCACCATAAACAGCTTTACACAAATTAAAGCCTCCATCTTTTCAAACCTGTTAAAAAAATTATGTAGCATATTTGCAAAATCTATTTTTTGTTTGTTTGTGGTGGGAATTCAGGAATGTTGCTATACCACTGCATGTTATTGGAAAATCAAAAGAATGTAGTTTAAGATCTAGAGTGTTTACTTGTACACCACAATAATTAGCTAAGGTTTCACCAGCCTGGCCAAAGTCAAGAGCCATCCTTGGAATTTAAGAACCTTTTTGATGTTGCCATTTGACTGACCTTTCTTGTCTTCTTAATGTCATGTAAGCCAGTGAACTGAAGAGTAAAGTTCAGCTAAATCCAAAACTGGGCTAAGAGCACTATACACGCACTTCCTTCAATTCCTTTTCCTTCCTGTCAAGCACGACAAATTACTAGGGCACTCTGAAGTTTACTGATGCAAAGCAGTCACTTGGATTCTCTTCCACATTCAGATGAACAGTATTCTTCTCTAGGTCTTGATAACACTTTTATGAAATTATGAAATTATTACCCTTCTGGTTTATCTGAAATAAAGGTGAAACCAATTCAGAAATACCCTTTAGTTCTCTATGCTAAAGCCACTCAGCCTCTCCTGCCAATCACCAAGAAGAAAGCTTATTTAAGCTTATTTCAAGACCTCCCATGTCACATATATTATAATCATATACGGTAATTGCAGGCATGGTACTGCAGATAGGTACAGGCTGGTGTAAGCAACCTTTCTACACATACCTACCTGGCTGGGAACAAACCATTGCGAGTACAGAAACTGTCAGGCTGATCGTCAGCAACAAGTTATGCCCAGACCAGTAAACCTTGTATAGTAAACCTTGCTCTTTTTCAGTGGTCATGC